GTTATTATAATATGAAAGCTGGCAATGTAGAACAAGCATGGTGTATGAATTAAAAAATTTTACTTCATTAATAATGGTAAGTCCACCTACATATGCCGCTTACAATTCAAATAACATAAAATAAAACCCTACTAATCTAAGGTTCTACTCTTACTGCAACATACAAACTTTTATTCTTCAAAGAAAGACAATTACAAATCAAAACTTGAATCAAGAACAAGGGAAGCCTTATTACTCGAAACAAGATGCCTCAGTATCACTTCCTAAGGACTTTGGGATAACTAAGGCCGGATCACCAAGTTCGATGGCACACTTATATCTATCCCTGCGGAATCCCCTTGAGATGGGGAGGTCTTATGGAAAACCTATAAATACTTGGGGCAAGATAGTATAACCAAGAAAACAACATGGATTTAGGGCTAGGCAACCCACCCTAGGCTTCCATGGATGGGACGTGCGACCCTAGGGTAAGAGGGCGAGAGAGAGAGAGGCATGAGAGAGAGAGATAAGAGAGGCTCTGATCTATTATCTTGAAAGGGGGTATGTCCCCCTATTTATAGTGGTGTCAGGTCTTGGGTTTGTCATGTTATTTGGGATTTTGTCTGGACTGTTGATCCGAGGTGATATGTGGGGTGATGAAGGGATTTAATTCTCAGCCCTCAATTCGTTAAATCAGCAATCATTGTTAAAGGAAGGATCTAGAATCATTATCCTATAGTTTGCTTAACCCATTCTCTCCTAATCCAAACATAGGAAAGTTCTCATCAAAAAGATTTTCCTTTATCATAAAATCATCTAGAAGGTTTCTAGAACTCCTTGACTTTCTAGAAGACTTTCTCGAGGTTTTACAAACTTTCCAAAACTCCTTTAACAAAATATCACATAATATTAAAAAAATTTAAAAAATAAGAAATATGGATCCACAATTGGCCTCATGCCCACACTAGCCAGGCATCCATACATGTGGGCCCTTGGTCACCATGTCCCATTGAGGCCTTACGTAATTTTGGTGGGTGCCCTCGAAGACTTTTTTAATTCCACAGGTACCCAACAAAACCCATGACACATAATCAATAGCACGGGCTCATGATTGATCCATTAAAGTTGGCCAATAAATAGCTTCAGACATTGGCCAATAAATAGCGTCAGACCCGAGTGAGTCACTACAAATATGCCCACACTCCCATTGGAGTACAAAATCACTATATTCATGAGTTTTTACTTGCTTTGTAGCTCCTTAAAGGCCACAAACCCGAACACAATAAGCTCAAATTTGTTCGAAATGTTCTGGATTCCTTTAGGCCAGTTGTCTATTGTGACAACTACAAATCTGGATGTACGTAAGTATGGAAAGAAATAAAACATGTTCGAACTATATTGAAAACCACCTAATATCAAGGTTCAACCTTACCTATCTACTATCCTATCAGCTGAGAACTGTCACACGGTTATGATGTCCTGAAAAAGTCATTAAATAGGATAATTTTGTTAGTCGAGGGGCACTTCTGCATAATACAGATTAACCATACTATTTGATAGAGGTGGAGGACATGGTGTGTCTCTTTATGGTAACGGTTGAGGCCTTGGTCATGGGCAATCGGCCTTTCTTCTCTCTTTTTTCTATGATAATTTTGGTCAAATTAATCTTGTTGGAATGCAATTTACCTTACGTTCCAATTCCATGATTTACTTGATCAGTTCCGAAAGAAGAAAAGAACTCCATGATTTACTTGATACAAAATCCTTGAACTGATGGAGGTCGCACCGGTCTTGTTAGATTTGTTTCCTTCCAGGTTGATGTTATGCTATAAGTCTATGGCATTGTTCTACCTTCAAGTTTCGTTTGGATGGACTTCTACTTCCAGCTAGTGTTCGTCTGGGCACCACTTACAGACTACTAGTGCTCTTATTATCTTTGATTTCATAAATTGATGGTTGCCCAGGGCCTTTGGATTACATGACTGAATTACTCGATTGTTCTTTTTCACATAACCATCTTATTTTTCTGTGGCTACAGTATATATATATATTTATATATATTTTTTTTCTTTTTTTGTGTAAAGTTAACTACATGTGGCTACAGTTAATTCTACAAGCAAACAAGAATTAGAACTGTAAAGGGCTTACTGTTCCACCTATCTTTTCTGTTTCCTTAATTGTTTCGTTCTTTGAAATAAAACCTAATTTTGCTCTCTCTTTTTTTTTAAAAAATAATAATATTTCCTTGTCAGCAAGAATAAATATCTGCAATAATAATTAAAAATATTAACATACATTTGAATGATATCTGTGCTGCAACCTATATTGAGGTGTTTGTAGTAGGGAGGCTTCACTTTCTCACTTTGTTTCTGAATATGAAAGCCTACTTAAGAGCATACTTTTCAGTTCCATTAGATTTTACAATAGTTAGGTTATCTGTGGTTACTCTTTTATATTTGATAATGGTTTTCATTTCTTTTTGCCTGTTGTCTCTTTAAGCATGATGGAATTTCTTTTACACCTCCTGGCCCTTGTGACGGCAAACACAAAAAGTTTGATTTTTGACCTCTTATTTTGCCATTATAATTCACTGTCCTGTCAGCTATGTGAAAGTCAATATTGTATTTTATTACTTTGGGAGAGAGTTCCGCAAAGATGGATTACATAAGTAACATGTATATTGTGGTCAGATATGAGCTTCTTTATCATATTGTCTATCTGATGGTAGCTGCTGAAGCCAAAATAAATATTTGTCTATTTTCTTCTTGGGGGGAAAAGGTCAGACATGAAAGGGATCTCAATCAGCCTCCATCCCACCATCTCATTCAATCTGTCTACAGCAGATCTAGAAGTCAATGCATCTGAATGACATAATAATAGGGGCTTTTGGTTCGTTTTCTAGCATTTGAAAGGGAAGATTGATGGAGGGAAAAATTGTACTTGTTTTAAATTTCTAATAAATTGTAAAGGATGTATATTTTGATTTTAGTTTTAGGATTTCTTTTGGGATTCTTGGGTTTTCTTATATTTTCTTTATTTACTATTCATGAGTACTATTTGGGGTTTTGTTCACAGGGGTATTTTTGAAATTTTAGTATTGTTTAAGGTGTATTTTAGAGTTTTCAATGTTACTTCGATCTCAAGTTAAATTAGAGTTTCATAGGCTTATAAAAGGTTGGATGTCATATTTTAGGAGGCAGATGTTATAGGAATGAATTTTATTATATGAAAGAAGAAAGTTATTCTCATGTCTTGATTTACAACCATGTTTTTTCTCTATTATTGCTTATTTTATTTGTTGAAGGTTCAGGAAAAGGGTGCATTCAATTTTCCACCTTTTATTCTTGTATCAAGTGGTATTAAAGCATGGTCGAGGACGGCTGGAGATTGTGATGGCTTGTCGTGGAGATCTTAGTCGTAGGGTTGCTGATTTGATTCAACTGCACAAGGAAATCAACAACTTGACGGAGAGGGTTACAAAGCTATTGTTGCGGAAGCAGGGCCAGCATCACTGCGCCCTAAATGAAGAGGATTATACTGGGATTGATCCAAATCATGAGGGTTTGTTTAGAGAATGGCAAGAATCAGAGTCCGACTCAAAGTTGGAGTGGAATGATGAAGTTACCTTCAACCATCCGTTCTATGCACACGCTTTGCATTGGGAGCCTCATGTTTGGAAGAATGGATCATGAGATTTAGTTGATCTTATATATTTGAAAGAGAATGAGGTTGATTTTTGTGTAGGTCATATCGAAAATCAGCAGGTTGTAGATTGAGATCTACCACCGATTTTTGATACATACTTAGATGATGAAGAAGATCTTGTAAGAGATGCAATCTATGATGATAATCAAGATTTCGTGGGTAAACTGATTTTTGACAGAGAAAGAGATGAAGATCTTAAAGATATCGAAGAGGTGGAGTATTTAGGAGATTTAGGGCATTAGGATCAAAGTAGTGCAGTGGAAGCATGTTCGACTCAAAATCTGCAAATTGTGGCCCTGGTTTCAGAGAGTAATGAGATAGATTTCGAAAAAGCCTTTAAAGTACAAAAACTTTGGTTTGAAGTTTCCTACATGATTTTCAATAGGAGCTCCAATATAGCCGAATTTGATAAATTTGCATCGATTCCTCAATATACATATCATAATACATTTCTGAGGAATTATTTTTAGTAGGAAAAATATTTAACCCAACAAAATAAAAGAAAGTTGAAGAAGGTGGTTTCGATGTTGAATTCATCTTAGCACACTTCAAAACTCGAGGACGAGTTTTCTTCAATCGGAGGAGAATGATGGAGGGCAAAATTATATTTATTTTTAATTTCTATCTAATTTTAAAGAATGTATATTTTTATTTTAGTTTTAGAATTTATTTTTAGGATTTCAAATTTTTTTTGGGATTCTAGGGTTTCGTATATTTTCTTTATTTTACTATTCATGAGTACTGTTCACATGTTACTGTTCATGCATTATGTTCACATGAGTATTTCTAGAATTTTATTCTTGTTTTAGGGGTACTTTAGAGTCTTAAATATTTAATTAGATCTTAAGTTAAATTAGGGTTTCATAGGCTTGTAGAAAGTTGAATATCATATTTTTGGAGGCAGATGTTATGAGAATGAATTTCATTTTATGATAGAAGAAAATTCTTCTTCTCTTGGCTTGATTTACAGCCACGTTTTTTCTCCACTATTGTTGATTTTACTTGTTTAAGGTTCAGGAAAAGGGGGGATTCAATTTCCCACCTTTTCTTCTAGCATCATTGATATATCTCTTTTCCTTCTATTGTTGCAGTGCTTCCTGCTGAAAATGAAATGCAGAGAGTAGCAATCAACCCATTAGATTGCCATATCTACTTGTACTTTAGGACATGTTATTTGAAACATACGTAGTTTCTTACACACATACTTGCACCAGAACACAGTTGATGATTTTTTCACTTTATATTTAGAATATTGTCTGTTATATTACTTCAATGCATAAATGTAGTAATCGATGTTTCAAAATATGATTGAACAGGGGATCCCCTTTATATAAGCAGTGGAGGTCCAAAGTGCTTTGAGTCTGAATCGAGTGTGGACATTATTGGTTTCAAGGGATTTGCACAAGACGGGTACTACATAATTTTAGTTTAAATTGAACTGAATCTTTCAGGGATCGTTGATATGATTAGATTTCTATAGTCAATTGTATTATTTTCTTGAAATTTTTGTTTATCCTTCAGCATAATCTTAAAATCTGTGAAGTGTATGTCTTAATTTTCTCCTTTGCATAAATAATGGTTGACAACAACTTTATTCATCTGGTTTGGACTTCTCTTTTTATTGATTAATATTCCATTGTTCTGGAAACCAAAAAATGGGATTGTGGAATGTTGAGCAGACCTATAGAATATTAGGATTTTTGTCTTGAAGGCCTCTCACCTGTTTCTTGTGTCAATCTTTTCTTATCCTTAAAAGAGTGACATTTTCTTCAAAAAACTTAGAATAAGTTAATCTTACTACTTTTTTTCCTTGAAGTGGACATTTGCGGCCATCAAAACCTGTTCCTGGTGATTGTGGTTATCACTTGCATGCACACCAGCTGGTACTCTACCACCCAACCGCATATGAGGTGCATATTGCATAAGTTTGTAGCATTTTGAAGCTTGCATGTTGCATAAGTTTGTAGCATTTTGAAGCTTACTTTTTTTTTGAAGTTTTGTCAATGTTTATGTTATATTGCTTGAAGTATACTCTACTTGTGATTGTCAAAGATGTATTTGAGACAGAGAGAAGCTTACTTTTTTGTGAGATTTATTAGTGTCTATGTTAATCTGCTTGAAGTATAATCTATTTGTGATTGTCAAAGATGTTTTTGAGAGAGAGAGAGAGAGAGAGAGAGAGAGAGAGAGAGATGAATAGAGAGTTGCATGAGAGAGTCCAATGAAGCTCATGCGTCTCTCATATCTTCTTTTATATTAATGAAATATCAAAAAGGCAATACTACCCATACAATTTAGAAATAGGACATTTAGGTCCTAATAACTTAACTGAAAGAGAAATAAAGATGAAGGGGATTTTTAATACTCCCCTCAAGCTACAACATAAAGTCGTCCATGCCCAACTTGGAACAACTTGATTGGAATAGATTACGACTGGGGTTTTTGGTGAAGATGTCTGCAGTTGATCCTTAGATTTCGCATACGAAGTAGACACCAGCTTACCGGTAACTTTCTCCTTTAGATTTCGCATACGAAGTAGACACCAGCTTACTAGTAACTTTCTCCTTAATAAAGTGATAGTCTACTTTAGTTTGCTTAGTTTTCTCATAAAACACTAGATTGCTTACTATATAGGTTGCAACTGTATTATTACAATACATCTTCATAGGCCTAGCAATAGTAAACCGCATCTCTGGCATCAATATCTTAAGCCACATCAATTCTCATGTAGTATGTACCAATGCTCTACAGTCAGTGTCTTTAGCTTTATTATCACAACATTTGTTTCTTACTTTTCCATGTAACGAAATTCCTCCAATAAATATACAACAACATGTGGTAGAGCGCCTGTAAGATTTAAGATGGACAACCTACCCAATAAGAATCAGAGCAACTCCCAATATTCAAATGGTTATTTGGCTTGTAAATTAGACCTCGACTTGAGCTCCCTTCAGATACCTCAACATTATACAAACAGAATCCATGTGGGGAATCTTGGGAGAGTGCATAGACTGACTCACTACACGTATTGCAAAAGCAATATCGGGCTTAGTGATGGTCAGATAAGTCGGTGTTCCTACATGTCTTATACCTTCCTGTATCCTCAAACAACTCCCCCTTATTGACGAATAATTTTGTATTTAGATCCACAAAAATATCAATTGGTTTAACTCTTAACATTCTAGTTTTTATCAACAAATCAATCACATAGTTCTTTAAGACAAGCTCATGTCATGCTTTGATTTGGCTACTTTATTTCCTAGAAAATACATTAGCTGTCCCAAAACCTTTGTCTAATCGTATTGTTTTAGATGTCTCTTCAAATGACTGATTCCTTCTTGATCATTGCTTAGAATGACAATATCATCAATATATAAAACCAAGACAGTTATCCTGGTGTCCTACTTCTAAATAAATATTGAATGATCTTCATGGTTGCATCAAAATCCATATGCAGCAACAATTTAACTAAATTTCTCTAACCATGAATGTGGGGATTGCTTCAGACCGTACATGGCTACCTTCAACTTACATACCTTGTCCGACTTCACCCGAGCAACAAGCTTAGGTGTTGGGTGTTGCTCCGTATACAACTCCTATTGTAAATCATCATGGAGGAAGCCATTCTTCACATCGAGCTACCACATTGGCCATCCTTTGTTTGTTGCTACAGCTATAACTCCTCGAACTGAAATATGTTTGGCAACTGGAGTAGAAGTTTAAGAGTAATCAATGTCAAAAGTTTGGGTCTATCCAATGGCATCCAATTTGGCTTTTAATCTCTCGACTGTGACATCGGGCTGATTTTTTACTGCATAAACCCAGTGATACCCAACAATCCTTTATCTAGTTGGTAACTCAGTGAGTTCCCATGTATCATTCAAGTTGAGTACATTTGTTTCCTCTTCCATTGCTTTCTTCCATCTATCATGAGAAAACATTTTCTTTTAAGACTTAATAAAAGAAATAGATGGAAGAGTTGAAGAAAAACTTCGATAGGATGGGGACAATTTGTGAAGGTAACAAAATGAGCAATAGGATGTTGAGTAGAAGACCTTGTCCTTTACTAGTGATTGGTACATTATTATAACCAGACACAGACTGTGAGTTAGAAGCAGGAAGTGGATCTATGAAGACGATGATTAAGTGGTTAGCTGAGTCGGTGGAGGGTGTTGATCCTGTACTTTTCTTCTCGTGTAAACCTCTATGGGCTGCTCTTAAGGGACATCGTGATTTTTAGAAGTTCAGCAGTCTAGGTAATTGAGGTGGTAAAGAAGTATCAACATGAATAACACGAGGAACTATAGAAGAAGAGGATTTTGAGTCTTCTTTTGGAGCAGGATAATAGAAATTTTGTATCAAGCATACGACCCCTCTTTTAGAAAATAAGGAGCATTTTAAAAATAAATTAGCACAAACAAATTTCTTTTGTAAGCCCAGATAAATACGAATAATAACTTTTCTGGAAACATGAATACCCCAGAAAAACACACTTGGTAGCTCAAGGATCCAACTTATCATTACCAGTTCGGTTCTTAACACATGAATAATGCATACACACCCAAACACTCGAGGAGGAACAACAAATAATAGAGTGTCAGGAAAGAGAATATAATGTAGTGTTTTTCCATTCAAAAGTAAAGAGGCATACGATTTGTTAGATAACATGAGGTTTGCAAGGCATCTCCCCCAATGAACTTTTGGAACATGCATATTAGTTAGCAAAGTGCCGGTTGCTTCAAGTAAATGTTGGTTTTTCTTTACAGCAACCCATCCTTTTGAGGAGTATGCGCACAACAAGTGTGATGTACAATCCATTTTTGAGAAAAATAATTTGAAAATTCTTGAAAGATATTCTTTAACATTAATAGACCGTAAACACGCACATTCTTATTGAGTTGGGTTTGAATCTCCTTGTGAAACAATTAAAAAATGGAGAAAATCTCAAAACTCTCTTTTGTTAAATATAACCACATAAATAGTCATCGACGAAAGTTATAAAATGTCTATGACCAGACAAACTTTTAACTCTAGTAGGACGCCAAATATCCGAATGACCAACTGCAAATGGAATAGATCTTCATTTATCAATCCTAGGCTCAAATGACACCCTATGATGCTTGCTTAACTGACAAGCCTCACATTCTAATGTAGACACTGACTCTAATAGTATAGACCGCCTGACTCATACTTCAACCAATCATCCTCTTTGTCTTAGGTCTTGCAAGACACAAGAAGAATGATAAAAGTTTAGAATGCATTAAGAGATTTGGTTAATTTACCATAGACAACAAACTAAAAGGAAAACTTGGAATATATTGCATAGATGATATAGAAAGGCAAGTAGGCATAATTGTACCTTGTCCAGAGAACCTAGACAGTGATCCATCAGCCAAAAATAGAGTACTCACCAGTGATGTGGTTGGTAGCTCTTGAATCAATAACCTAAGGAGTAGGTTTTTGAGATGCAAGAAGCATTGAAGTACTTGAGTTAGCAAGGATGGCAGTAGAAGTGGAAGGGTGGACAATAGGTTGCTTGCTTGTTTAACAAGTTTATCTTATTCTTCGCTTGAAAGCACAACAATGTCACCAGTAAAATTTGACTTTGTTTTTTTTTTTATAACTGTTAACAATTGTATAGATATGAAAAGATAGATACAAGTGAAGAAGTTTAATCCAAGAGTGCCTAACAACTAGGACTCCTGGTAAAAAGAATAGGTCAACAGACTGTAAACAAAATGGGGTTACAAGAATTTCCCCTTACAAAGTGAACTGTAGATGTACAGAAAAGATACAATCAGGACCGTATAAGTAAAGCTAAAAAAGGACCTAGTCCAGAAGGGGTTTGAGTAGGGTGCAAGCTTTGTGCCCATTCCAAAAACAAACCGTTAAAGTGCCAAATCTTCAGCTCAGGCCATGGCTCCGTCCTTAGCTAGTAGATCGACGAACCTTTTCGACATCCTTGAGATAGGCGTCCATAAGATTGGCGTATGCCAACAAAGATGCTCGATTTCATCATAAATGGGCATGAGGTACTAAGAGGGAGAAGCTGTTTTGGAAGCCCAAGAGATAATGTTCCTGGCGTCACCCTCCACAAAGAGAGTATGTCCCCAAGACCGATCGAAGCTCTGTAAAATTTGACTTTGATGATATCACTAGATCCATTCAAATAAACATCATCACTCTCAGAGATATACGTTACATGATTTGCTCAAGCTGGCTTACCAAACTTAATACTTGTCAATCGTATGATTTGTATTCCCACAGTTCATGCACTTTCGAGTTCCACGACCCTGCCACCATCACCTTTACTATGGCCCCTTCCGGAGTAACTACCATGTCTCCCACCTTTGTCCCCATCACCTTTTCCCACAGATGTATTCAATTTTCATCCATCACTAACACTTAGTCAAACGAAGGCGTAATAGGGGTTAGATATATTGACATGTTGAACGCATACATACACATTATTGAGGGATGGTTGCTCACTACTTGCAAAAATCTATCTATGGACAGGATGGTTATCAGGATTATGACTTGATAAAATTTGGCAACTCTGAAATCATCATGTTGCTTCCTCCGTAATTCTGTATCTCTAGATATAGGCTAATACAGATTCAGTTCCCACATACCTCTATGGGCACTACAATATTCACTCACATTCTTTTTACCCTGGTGCAATTGAAACATTTTCTCAAACAGTTCATATACCTGAGAGACATTCTTATCTAATATGATTTATTAGTGTCGCCAAATTTATTTAGCCGTGTCGAGAAACATTGCATTCACACTTATTTGAGGTTCCATATTACTCGATATCTAAGTCATGATTATGTAATTTTCTTTCACCCACTCTTCCTGTCTACTGTCAAATTCACTAGGCTTGTCCTCAGCCAAGTATTTCAATTTC